TTAACATTTGTAAGAGGGTATGGAGGGGCTGAGGGGCAGAGGAAGATAACTTAAAGAGAGAGAAGGGGAAGGAGAAAGAGAACGTGAGATCTTTGTATAATCCTTGTCTTACCTGTAGAACCAGTCCCTATAGCAGAACACATGTTCACAGTAATAGAATGGAAAGGGGGGGAATGAGTGGGAGGGAATTAACCAAATACCAGATCAGAGAATGGACTGTCTCTCACTCTGCCTGTCAGTCAGTCACATGCACGTCACACACACACACACACACACACACACACACACACACACACACACACACACACACACGCACAAGAACATGATCCTCATCTACATAACCTTTTAGATAAATGGTACACTCCTAACTGTCTCTAACCAGACAGGCAGTATCATACTGCATCGTTGGTGATTTACATGACAGACTGACACACACACACACACACACACACACTCATAGTCACACACTGGTTAGATAACATTGTAATAACACAACTCTACATGAACAAGCCCCATCAGAAACACTCCAGCAAATACTGTACACTCTCATTTTTAAACTCTGTTCTGAGGTTATTAAGGTCAGTTTTATTTATAAAGCACAAATTCATAACAGTTATCTGTGGGCACTTCTCATATAGAACAGGTCTCGGATTGGAACTTGGATTGTGGAAGGAAGTAGAAGTGGCGAGACACAAGGACATAGAAACTGTGAGGCAAATGCACCAACTCTGACTCCTTTCAAGAACAACCAAAAATTAAAGATATAATATACAACTCTTCAGTAAAAAGTTTAAAAACATACACTCACATAATCCAAATGTTCAAACCCAGAGCAATGTTCAAACTCAGAGAAATTGTATTCAAGGTAATGGAATGTTTTATTTTGTTTTATATCCACCTTACCCATGACTTTGTCTTAAAAAAATAAAACGTTAGCTAGATTGCCAGTCGGCTGCTTTTCTCATTGTTTGTGTTGGTCACTTGTAATGGTTCACAGTTGATAATTGCTATTTACTGCGTTACATGAATACAACTTTAATACACCACATCATCCGTCAACAGGATTGGTGCTTCATGGGAGTTGTCAAGTAAACAACATCATCCAACTAGATCTTTTGTTGTTGTTTTAATTGACAGAACTCTAGAAGCCAAAGTGAAAAGAATGCACCTCCCACAAATCCTGCCACATCTTGACATACTTATACCAAAAATCTATTTGCAACTGTAAAATTCAGGTTAAGAAAATCCAAAAATAACTCTAGTCTCAGTTGTTGCGTTCACCTCTTGATGGTGATACATTTTGTTTGAAGAACAGTGAAGCCCTGCTCCTTATGAGCAGCAGCAGGAAGATCAGGGAAATCCTCGTCATTCCAGCACTGACAAAGTGTAAACGTTGCTTTTGTGCTTGTTATTTAACTTTCCTGTGGGCTTTCTCAAGGCAAACATATTATCTCACATGGTACTACTGCTGTGTACATGCTTGTTATTCTAGTACATGCCTTCCCAACTCTGTACTATCTAAATTAAATCAACACAGAATCACACTCACAGGATGTCAGAAGATTTGTTATTCTTCTCTGAGTACTATAGACTAGATTTAATGAACTCTTACATGACACCACTTTTTAAGAGAACTAAAGACATTAGTGTCTGGAATTACTCAGAGACCCAGGAGGTACCAGGTTGCAGGTACAGAGACTAAACCACCTCAAGGACCATGTAGACTCAACCGTGATGGTGAGTGCCGTGTACACCAACGTACAATGTCCCTAAAGTATCCTTCTAAGTATTCCAGAAATCTCCATTAGTTCTTTTTCTTGACAATCGTTTCTCTGAGGATTTTTGTTTTGTGTTTTTTTTGGATGACTCTTTGCCAAGACCCCAACTTAAACCTCCAAGAGCATCATCACGATCACTTTGATGTCATCCCATTACCAAAATGTTGCTTTGTGACTATTTTCTACTCCAGTGACACGCAGCAACAGGCACTTCTTCACGAGACAAGAATATAGTTAGTATTTTTCTATTGACTGAACCTTCCACTCTTGTCCACAAGTAACACATTGTTAGAGTTATGAGCCGTGAGCAAAAGGCGGAAATGTCTCTACCCAAGTGGTCACGGGATGTATCGACGAAGTCAATGACAGTGAAAAGTCACTAAAAGTCACTTTGCATTATTACCAAGTGAGACCAACATGTTACATCCCCAGTATCATTCTGAATCCCTTTAACTTTTCTTTTTCTAGACATCTCATTTATTCCTTTACTTCGCTAACAACTGGAAACTGGAGGTGACATCACTGTTACTACATATGTGTGTGTATTTGTGTGTGTGGTGTTCTCTGTAGAAACAAAAGGCCCTGTGTAGGTAAATGTTGGACCAGTGTGTGTGTGGCTATTTATAGCAAAGGAAAGAGAGACACTGGTGTTCCCGGCTGTGTGCGTCTGTGTGTGTTAACTGTGGCAGCCTTTGTTTCCTTGTATAAGCATGTTCTCCTCTCCTTTTCCTCTGAATAATAGCCTTGTTATTCTTTGCTGTCATTACCAAGAATATGTGCATCATCTTGTGTGTGTGTGTGTGTGTGTGTGTGTGTGTGTGTGTGTGTGTGTGTGTGTGTGTGTGTGCGTGCGTGTGTGTGTGTGTGTGTGTGAGACTGTGAGTGTTTACCACGGGATTTCTGTTATTCCAGCCATGGTCGGCATTCAGACTCTGCATTTGTGCCTCCTAATATGGAGGAGTACTGACACTACACACACACACACACACACACACACTCACACACACACACACACACACACACACACACACACACACACACTCACACACGTGCACTGCAATGTCCTCCACAATCTGGTTTGGATCCAACTTCCGTCTCAGTGTACAATAAAACCAGTCGACCTCATTGTCTCACTGTCTCATTTACATGTTGTGATCTGAGTGAGCTGTGCAGTCACACCTCAGTGACAGCAGCAGTGGATGAAGAAATCCCGTCTGAAGGATTCACTATTTTAGCATTTCCTTTTTAACCACACCCAGCATGCACCTGTTAGCGACCCGACCGCAGGCGGGTGTGTTTGATTTGAGACGGCGACGTGTTGGCCCGCAGGTGCATCAAATCAGCAGCCTCTTTTAATGATCTTTCATCGAAGCAAAGTAAAATACTTGAGTCCCAAACCATTGCATTAACCTACTGATTAGATAATTAAATGCACAAAACAAACAACGAATACCGTCATTCATTACTTCCATCTTTGAAGTTGTTTTCATTATCAAGGTTTGTTGGTGCAGTCAGTGGTGTGAATGAATGTCTGACATGTGAATGTGTAAGTGAGCATGTGTGATAGTTTGTGTTTGTGGGTTGAAATTTACTGTGTTAATAAATATACTCAAGTCTGAGACCATGGATGAGAAAGTGATCCCAGACTTTTGTTTGCAGCTGTTCATCTGCAGTTGAACATGTGTTGCTCTCTATTTTATCATCAAGTTTATTTGGTGAATGTCGGCATGTGTTTCTTTGTGAGTAAGTGTGCATTTTTGTCTGAATATGCAAGTGCATCTGTATGCGTGTGTATGTGTCTGTGTGTGTGCACTTATATGTGTTTATGTGTGTCATAGACAGAAACCACCTCCAGCCTTTTCCCAAGATCCTTCCTGGATCCTGTTTTTAGTGCCGGATGAGGCAATCTTTCCCATTGACTCAGCCATGCAATGCAAATAGCTCCAGAAGCATGCAAAGAGCATGGAAATTTGTGTGTATGCATTTGTGTCTGTGTTATATACAGACACACACAGACAGTGTGAGAGTGAGAGATGGCATAAGTTCATAACACTTTAAAGGAAAATAAAGACACATTGTAAGTGTGGTACTAGTTTACATATTGGCTCTTTATACTTCCATATTTTCGGCCTGTCTATCAGCAGTGGATTTTATTGGTGTTGGTTGGTTTCATTGTGAGTTGTGGATCTTTTTCTCTGGAGCACTTTCAGTATCCAGTATCGTTCATGGCCCACCCATTGTCTGTTGGTATTACAGAGCCCAAGTCATCTTTATATAAAACATATATACAGATCCTGTATTCATACGCAATTAGATAGATAGATAGATAGATAGATAGATAGATAGATAGATAGATAGATAGAATAGAATAACATATGCATGCACACATACATGCCTAATGAATAAATCCCCAGTGAAATAATCAACAGACAAGTGACATAAACATTTTTGAAACATTCCTTGCCCAAAAAGAAGTTGGAAGAAGCAACATGTTTATCTTGTCTTACCCCAACAATTATTCAAATGCTATATTTGCCCCATACAATGATCCTCCTCCATGATACCCAACAAAAACAATGAAATAAACAGTGACATTGTCGCTATGAACAGCATTCTCCTTCCTCATTTCCTTTTGAAAATAATTTTCTTCTAATCTTTTTGAACTGTATATTATTACTTTACTTCCTCCAGACTATTCCACATAATCACACCACAAACCGAAATACACATACTTTTAAGTGTGGTCAGACTACAACAATGTTGCAAATTAAATTTGCCTCTGAAATGACTGTACGCTTTTGTGTGTTACCAGGAAGTACGATATTTCTTCTTAAATGACACAGACACAGCCTGACACAGAAAATTAAAAATAGCATTAATCAAACCTGACAGTTCTAAACTTATAAAATGATTCTGTAGCTACAATATAAAGTTATTATAATGAGTAAAAGATAATGAGAGATATTTATTCAAGCAGTAAACTGTCTTGTTTTTATTCACATTATCTTCATTTGGAACTCAGTCACACAATATTTAACACTGAACATCTCTCAAATTTTTTTTAAACCATAATGAATTTCTCCAAACACTGGCTCTTTCAGAATCTGTTTCCATGTGCACATTGATTTTCAGGTCTAACTTTCTGCAGTGTTTGTTTAAATCAGCTGTTCTTTGGAGGGATGAAGTAAATGAACACCTCCCCCCCTTCTCATCTTTTCCCAGATCCTTCGGTGGCGTTGCCGGTGTTGTGTGCGGCCTTGTTTCCCATGGACCTCAGGGTGGGAGAGCGGGGGATGCGCCCTGGTTCGGACACGGCGCTGTTCACACCGCTGCACCCACCTTTACTCCTCACCCAGTTCTCCTCTCAGCCCTGCACCTCCTTCTCCCAACAGCAACTGCACCAGCAAATCAGGGTAACAGACATTAAGAACATGAAAAATGAAAGAATTAGTTGAATGAAGAAAAATTGTGTTTATTATTATTATTTTCTTACATGTTGATCTTACACAAGCACTTGTTTCATGCATGTTGCTATGATGTAAATATGTGTGTGGTTTCAGTTTAATGTGGAGCAGAGGAGGCGAGAGCAGGAGCACCATGAGAAGCAGCAGGAGTTGCAGCAGTTAAAACACAAAGACAAGAGTCAACAAAGTGAGCCCACACACACACACGCACACACACACACACACACACACACACACACACACA